CCTTGAAAGTTTTATTCAGTGGTAAGAGGGATTTAGTGTAAACATGGCAGTGTTTGTATTTATTTCTCTGTTAGAATAACTATTTCAGTCTCATATCATCAGAAGCATTAGACCAAGCATGTCAAACTCGAGGCCCAAGGGCCTCATGCAGCCCACAGGAATATTTTTGTGGCCCATCCAATATAATGGTATGTAAGAAACATTTTAATAAAAATTCTGTGACTTAATTTTTACAATATCCTGTTGTACATCATTATTAACAACAAACTACAATGTTCGCTAATGCCTGATTACTATAATTGTGTTGCATTAATTTCCCTTACACGCCTTACACACAGGTGCACAATTTCTCTCCACTAATACCAGCAGTGAATATTTTAACAGCCAATTGCCACATCATTAGTCTTGTACTAATTTGCTTGGTGTGCACCATAGGAAATATTTCGCTGTCATAGAACAAGAAAAATAGGTTTGTTTGCATTACGCCTATTAATTTTCACAGTTATTCAGTGTCTGTTAAGTGAATGGTCCAGAGGAAATATTAATTTTCATTAAAATGTTCTATTACGTTAACGATTATTTCAGCCCTTTGTATTCAGCATATGCTTCTATGAAAATTGAAGCTTTTGGGGGTTTTTGCGGCCCATATAATCTTAAACTTTGTTTATTTGGCCCATGTTAGCCTTTGAGTTTGACATGCTTGCATTAGACTATAATTACATGGTCCACACCTGCCTAGAAATTAGTGTTCTCACTACAACAATGCCAATGTTGTGAAAAGAGCAAGATGGCTAAGGAATCATATTTAGTCATTCGACCTTATGAATGTTATTGTCATATGAGTGGGTATTCTTGAAATTCCACACATAAGTAGCAGATCTGCAAGGATGTTATAATCAACACTTTTTTTGGGAGTATGAATTAACAAGCTTAAACATTAAGAGGTAAATCTGTCTACTTTCCAGCAGCCCCAAAGGATCCATTTTCTTGCTGACTGCTTCAGAACACTTCATGAAACACATGTCAAACCTGTCAGGGCTGTCACCAAGAAAATGATCCGTGTGGCAAGGGTCTTTCCCTGGGAAACAAACAGATGTCTTTCCTCAACAAAGAGTGACATAACCCTGCCATCTATTAGAGAAATGTTTGCCTGCCTTTAATATCCAGGAGTGAAGAAAATCTTTGGTAAAATGGTTTCCTTTCTAGCACTATCATTCATTATTCAGTCATTTTCAGTGGCATTTTGATTTGCTGCCTTCGCTATTTTAATTTTTTTTGTTTTGTTTTGTTTTGTTTTGTTTTATCCCTGAATTACAACTTTCTTAACAAAGATTGATCTGCAATGTTGGAAACACAAATAAACACTTTTTTAAAAAGTAGAAGAAGAAGCCAAAGCAGCCTATAACACCCTTTCTGAAGCTTTATTGTCTATTTCATCTGTTACTGTTATTTTGGTCATTTTTTATGATGCAATTCTATAGCAGTTATGATGAATTATACTCTAGCAGTAAGGGTTAAATGCCTTTTCCACCCCTCCATAATTCTTTTTCCATCGAGGTCACAGCTCTCCTTGTGCATAGGAAGACAGAGATTGTTACTTAGACAACTGTTTTAAAGGCAGAGAAAGGCAAGATGTTTTAAGACATGTCTTCAGCATAAAGGAGAGTGTGCAACAGATTTTGCAACCTGTCCTGAACAAAGACAGTGCTAGAAGAGACATGCGTTGACAAACCATATTTTCTTATTCAGAGAAACTTAATAATTAAAAGACTGGCATTATGTTAAGAAAGTTAGTTAAATAGGAAAGTAAAGCATATAGCTACTTCCTAGCCCTCAGGGACATTATTAAGCCTTTACATTCCTATTTTGACTTAGAGCATCATTGAAGATTGCTAGGAAAACTGGATAGCCAAGCTTAAACCAGTGAGTCTTATTGGTGTGGGAAGTTAGTAGACTCCACATGATAACGGCTCCATTCGTGTACGTAATAAAGGATATGAACTTGATCATAGCTATCTTGGCTGATTTTGCTTCAAGCATTTTTGCTTATTGAGGCTTTTAGTACTGTTCTAAGCTAGCAGTATGACTACTGGGTAAGAAAGAATATTACACTTCTCCAAATTATATATTAGTTTAGGCAGAACTTTCTTTTATTCAATTTTTACTACGCTGTTTCACAAGGTCAGAAAACATTTATTGGACTCCAATGATATATTAAACAAGTGTCTCGGTGCATGAAATTTGTGCATGGGGATGACGGGGCTTTCCTCAGCCCAGCCTGCACCCTTTCCTATTGGTGACCCCTTGGGCGATGTCCAACTGCTGGCTTAGTTCCAATCCCTGTGAGATTTGGCCTAAACTGGCAGTCAGACATCCCTCTCGCAATCTGGGACCACTGGCTTCTAACTGCTCACCTGCCTGCCTGCCTGATCACCCTAACTTTCTCTGCCTGCCTGCCTGATTGCCCCTAACTGCCCCCCCCCCCCTGCTTGCCAGCCTGATCTCACCCCCAACTTCCCTCCCCTGCCAGCTTAATCTTGCCCCCAACTGCCTTCCCCTGCTGGCCTAATCTTGCCCACAACTGCTTTCCCCTGCTGGTCTGATTTCCCCCTCAATTATCTTCCCCTGCCGACTTGGTTGCCCCCAACTGCCCTCCCATGCTAGCCTGATCGCCCCTAACTGCCTTTATCTTGGCCCCCGCCACCATGGGTTTGTCCAGAAGATGGCTGGTCTACCCATTCTAATTAGCATATTACCCTATTATTATTATAGACAAATTATATAGGATAGGATTGCTTAAATGGGGGGGGGGGCTTTTTCATTAGGAGGAGATGCTCTTGACAGACAAAAATACATAATCCCTATATCTGGACTGATAGCCAGCCATATGCACTATACTGCTAAACACGTCATTAAAAAATTAAACCGCTTTCTTACACCTTACACCAAACAGCTGTTGCCCTTAAAACCCCTCCTCAGTCCCCACCTTAGGTTCTGCCCTCGAAGTTCACCCATATTAGGTTCTGATTGGTCAGTTTTTATGCCAGTCAGTGTCAAAAGCTCCACCTTCTAGGCAGCCATTGGCTCCTCACAGTTCACATAGATTTGGTTCTGATTGGTCAGTTTCTATGCCTATCTCTGGGCCTGATCAGAAAAGCAGGGCTGATCAGAAGCCTTGTACTGCTGTGAGGCCCAGAGAAAAAGAAAAGCAAGGGCTGATCAACAGCTGCCATGGAGGCTGGGGATCAGACCCTGCTTCTCTCTCCAAGTCTGATCCGCAGCCCCCTTAGCAGTCAGGACTGACTTCCTGTGTTTGGTCAGCCATTTGGTCATTTTGAACATTACAGACCCTGGCTCCTTATATATCTATATCTATATCTATATCTATATCTATATCTATCTATCTATCTATCTATCTATCTATCTATATATATATATATATATATATATATATATATATAGATGTGCCCTGTTTGACTATAGGAATATATGATAAAAAAGATAAAGCCCTGCCTTGAGGAATATATAGACAAATTCAGTGCTAATTAACAAATAATTCTTGCCACTTTTACCTGTTGATTTAATACTTTCTGTTAAGTGTCTCATCTGAAGAATGAAGTGGAAGTGTAGACTTGTATTTACTTTTTATTATGATGTAATTAAAATGTAACTTCTAGAAATTTTGTATAAAAGTGGAAACTACTGGTTCATTCAGAGGTTTTCAAGAGTCAACGGAACATAATATTTACAATGGCCTATTATTCTTAAAGAAATATATTAAAATTACATTGCCAAGATGATATTTGAAACACCATCCCTTACATAGCTATAATATTCGGGTTAGTAGATAATATTGATAATTTCTCTACTTTCCTGGTGTTGACAAAGTTTGAATCACTAATGCTATTGAATTTAGAGGTCAAATATGTAAAGGAAGCTCTCTCTAACTTAATGTTTTCAGGTAAAGTGTGGTTATTCATGGGAAACAAATATGTATACCATGATCTGCATTTGTTTATATGATCAGTTTACTCAACAATGATTTAACTGAATTGATATTTGTTTTACAAGATACAGGGTGATGTGTTTGGTGATATGGATATTATTACTGTTATGTAGAAATACTTAATAAATTTCTACTGCTTTAATTAACTCAGTCAAGTTTTAGGCAATGCTTTTTACTTCCTTTAAAAATGAAAGATCTTACTTGATAAATAAAAATAATAATATTAGAAAAGCAAGACTGCTTTGTGCTTGGGTATTGTTGAAGGAACAGATATGATGAGATGGTTTCAAATTGTGAGATGAAATATTTTTCCAGACTCTCATTATTTATACTTTGGAGGTCACCATTTAATAATGAACACCAGAAGCACTTTGTTCCTATGGAACCAGACATGATGTCACTTCATTTATTCGCCATGTTCCACAGGAACTTGCTCTGAGTTATGAGGCCACCACCTAGAATTGAAGCTGTAGACAGTTGTAAGCTTTCTCTAGTCTGTCATGCCCATGTTTCCTATTTTAGAGCTGACTGATCTTCAGATAACATATGGTGGTGCAAGTAATTGGAAAATTGGCAGACCTGTCAAGAAAGTATGCTAGATGACACAAAAATGCCATGCTTGGAGCACATAGTGTCTCCGAAGTTAAATTTATTGTTTTTCATCAAATGGTGAAGTAAAAATACCTGACTCACCCCCTTTAAAAGGACACTTTTTAGTGGCAGGTGTGATTTCAAAAGACATTTTTAGGTAGTTGATAAAATAAGTTACTTTAAAAAATACAGAAATTTTAAGGCAATGTGTAGTATAAAACAGCACCCAATATAAATATTTAAATGTTACATAATTTTTGCATTTTGTTATAGCCTTTTCCCTAGGATTACTAGAATCATAATAGTCAATTCTTCAGAGAAATAGAGTTAAAATGTATTAAGTATAGCCGATAAAAATGCCCTAAAGTTTATATTTTAATGTTTTCTAAAATTTATTTCACAGGAAGATGAAAATGAAGCTGAAAGAAAAAATATATCTCAGGAGCTCAGCATGGAACAGAAAAATCCAAAGAAATAAAGGATTTTCTGTAGTGTTTTGAAAAGTTTGCAACTTATGTAGTAGCAGATAAAATTTCTAATTGTAAAATGTTAATTGTAAAATCTTAATCTGCAAAATGTTCTGAATAAAGTTGTTGAAAATGAAATAGGAGCTTGCATTTGAAATTTGTATGTTTTTAGAGCAATTTAAACTTTTATATAAAAGTTAGGCCTTTAAAATATATATTTTTAAAATTCTTAACTGAAATTTGAGAATAGAGACAATTTTTTTCTTATCTGTAACCTAAGTGTTAGTATATCTGAATGACCTGAAAGAAAACTGAGTCTTTTATCCCCTTACTAGTCTCTTCTTCAAGGACCTTAACAGAATTCCAGTTAAATTTATAAAGAAAAAACAGCATAGTTCAAAAGTAAACAAGTGCATGTGAAAACACTTAAAATCAACCAATGCCACAAGATGAAAGACCATTGTCTGATTTCAACATATATCAATTTATATATGACCTAATATCCTAGGATTGCAGGTAAAAGCTAAAAAGAAATGATGTAATATTTTCTGTGGCAGAAGTAGGGCCATAATTTTTGATTCATAAAATACTAAGGACCTACTGTGTACTGGTCCCTATACACTTTTCCTGGACATTTCAAGAACAGTTCCTACCTGTTTGGCTTAGGGATTATGTAAAATTTCTTTAATTCCTATATTTCTCATTTCTCAGCAACCAGCCATTTTTCTTTCCCTGGTTCTAATTCCCAAGCTATCATTTTCCAACTGTAATAGGAGCAAAGAACCTACTTGTTATTTGCAGAGCCAAATGTTTTTGATAGATGTCTTTGTTTGATTATTTAAGGCAGACTTGCTTAAAATAAGAGACAGAACTTTGGAAGGCTAATAAGAGAATGTCAGAAATACAACTTCCCTCGAGGATAGAATTCATGTGCTTACCCTGTGGCCATAGTTTTATCACATGTGTCTGACAAGCTCAGTGAAGGTGTCACAGTGGGACATGCTGGCAGCTATGATACAGTGGGCTGAAGTGGGAAAACTGCAACTAGGCAAGATAGAAAATTCATTGCTAAGTCCCAAATAATGCATCATATGTCGATATCAAGAAAAAAGCTGTACCCCAGACTAGACCCCCCTCAAAAAATTTAGGAGCAAAGACAGAGACTAAGAAAAGTCTGGGAAGTCTGCAGAGGGCTTTCACAATTAGCAAATACAAATTAATTTGACTTTCTATTTTTTCCATTTAGTGTCACTTTTGAAAAGAAGCAATAATACATGATACATATCATAGTTTACATGTAATATAGTTATTATTTGCAGGCACTATGCTATATGCTACTTGGTATGCATTATCCCACTAATCATCCCAATGAATATATAATATAGTTCCTACCATGTTTCCCCAAAAATAAGACATCCTCTGAAAATAAGACCTAGCACATGGAAAGATAAGACATCCCCTGAAAATACGACCTAGTGCAACTTTGGGTGAAAAAATTAATATAAGACACTGTCTTATTTTTGGGGAAACAGAGTATCACCCTTCCCATTTTATCAATGATTAATCTGAGGCTTAGACATGGGAAATAAGTTAACCCAAGGTTACACACTTGTAATTTAATTGGCAGACCCAAGCAGCCTCACCCCAGAATATCACATTTTATCATTGTGAAATTCTCAATTCATACCTCTTTTCAATCCACTATTCTCCCCCTTTCTTCTTAGCACCTCATTCATTACCTACTACTCTTAATTATTTCTTTCCCCCACCTTCTTAGTACACTTAACTCATTTTGAAGACCTGCTTGAGTGAAATAAGCGAAACAATTATAACTACTACTAGAGACCTGGTGCACAAAATTCATGCATGGGGGCATGTGTCCCTCACCCCAGCCTGCACCCTCTCCAATCTGGGACTCCTTGAGGGATGTCCAACTGCCTGTTTAGGCCCGGTCCCATCAGGATCGCGCCTAAACGGGCAGACATCCCTCTCACAATTCAGGACTGCTGGCTCTCAACTGCTCACCTGCCTGCCTTCCTGATTGCCCCTAACCACTTATGCCTGCCAGCCTGATCACCCCCTAACCACTCCCCTGCCAGCCTGATTGATGCCTAACTGCCCTTCCCTACAGTCTTGGTCACACCTAACTACCCTCCCCTCCAGGCCTGGTCACACCTAACTGCCCTCCCCTGCAGGCCTGGTCACCCTAACTGCTTTTCCCTGTAGGCCTAGTCCTCCCACCCCCAACTGCTCTCTCCTGCAGGCTTGGGTTCCCCCTAACTGCCCTTCCTGCAGGCCCAGTTGCCTCCAACTTCCCTCCTTTGCAGGCCTGGTCCCTCCCAACTGCCCTCCCCTGCTGGCCATCTTGTGTGGGAGTGATGGTCAATTTGCATATTACTCTTTTATTAGATAGGATTCCACCTGCTCCAGAATATGAAAGCCCTGCTTTACCTTTTTATATTGAGTTATGATGGAACAACAGGTATGAAGGTATCTTACTGCTTTTCAATGATTTTTCAATAACTTTATGGCCATATTTTTCAGTGTAGCGCTTATTTAATTATTAGTATGCTGTCATCTCAGCTCTTAATTTTTTAAATTTCTAAAACAAGTTTTAGGTATGAGAGGCACACTGACACTTAGCCATCTAGCAGGAATTTTAAATATTTAAATTTAAGTGATATCTTTAACCATTCAAAAACCCCGTTCCTTTTCTAATTTTCTTTTCTAAATATATACCCCTTGGTTTAGGATAGTGAGTAGGACAGTAGAATCACTATCAATTTCCTTTAAGAAAAAATGTGCATTTCACAAAGTTTTAGGTCCATACATCCATGCCATAAGTACATACATACCAGTATAAATCTTGCTGTAATACTAACATTGCCCACATTATGTGAATGATTAAGCTAGTCACTTAATTTGAATGAAATTATGCATATAATTTATATTATGAATATAACGCATATTATTGATTATATTAATGTTAAATAACATTATATTATAATAATGCATATAATAACTCTATAGACTATTACATATTATTTTAGCACAGGTTACCGTAACAAAATACCCCAGGCTAGTGGCTTAAGCAACAGATTTTTCTTTTTTTCTCTCTGTCCAAATGCCTATTTTATAACAAATCTGAATCATGCTAAGGAATACTAGAGTGAAGTCCCAATGAAAAGGCTATGGCAATATGGATTATATGTATGTAGTGTCATTAGAAAAGTTTATAATTAGAGTATAATCTAAAGGTTGATTTCTAAAGCAGATAAACCACTGCACCTGTTTTATCTCTATATCTCCATTACTTAGTTCATTTTCTGACCCATGCTAAGTGTAGTACTACCAACAGAAGCCAACTTATAACAATATACACTATCTAAAGAACCAAATTCCCTTCTAATTAATGATTCCTGTATAATTTCCACTTGCTCAATCAAACTGTACTGTCTTCATGTTAGTTACTGAGATATATTTCTTCACACCTTCAAAGAATTTAAAAGCAACACAACTTTTAATCAGTATTTTTCTCTATTATTCTGATGAACAGCATTTAAAAAAAATATTCAGAATTCTCTTTCCTCAGGTCTATGGAACAAACAACAGAAATAGCAAGAGGTGTTATGTTGTTTTCTAATGGAATGTACTGGGAACTAAATGCCCAAATTCTTAAATTCACTCAGCAGAACTTTCTTAGGACTCACTTATATGGTATGCACTGTCTATCACTGGGGATTCAATAACAGACAAACTTCCTCTGCTGTCACTGTCCTGAAACTTTTAAAAATACTTTATTCTTTAATAAGGGGCCTCACAGTTTTATTTTGCAATTGGCCTATAGAATACAAAACAAGTGCTACTAACATGTACTGCTTTTATATTTAAACTAGAGGCCCGGTGCACGAAATCCACACATGGGGGTGTGTAGCTGTAAGCCCAGCCTGCACACTCTCCAACCTGGGACCTCTCAAGGGATGTCCTACTGCCCATTTAGGCCCGATTCTTGCTTGCCTGTCTAAACCTATTTAACTAAACCTATTCAAATATTATTTAATTGTCCCTAACCACTTCTGCCTGACAGCCAATAACCCCTAACCCCTCCTCTGCCAGCCTGATTGCCCCTAACTGTCCTCCTCTGCTGGCCTGGTCACCTCTAACTGCCCTCCCCTGCAAGCTTGATCTCCCCCAACTGCCCTTTCTTGCAGCCATGTTCCCTCTCAACTGCCCTCCCCTGCTAGCCATCTTGTGGCAGCCATTTTGTATCCACATGGGGGCAGCCATCTTTAACCACATAGGAGCAGCTATCTTGTGTGTTGGAGTGATAGTCAATTTGCATATTACTATTATATAGGATTGTTATTATTATTAGGATATGTTACATACAAAGAAACACCCATTTTAAATGTGTAGTTCAATAAATTTAATATATATGTAGTCATCAGTTGAATCTAAATATAAAGCATTTCTATCACTTCTAAAAGTTTTCTTGTGAAATTTTGTAACCACTAACACATCCCTACTAAACCCACTGATCTGCTTTCATTCTTATTAGTTTTGCCTGCTCTAAAATTTCATACAAATGGAATAATTTTTGTATATGTTGTTTTGAGCCTGGCTTTCTTCATTCAGCATATTTTGAGTTTCATCCATGTTACAGCATGAATCAGTAGTGTGTTTCTTTTTATTGCTGAGTACTTTTTCATTGCATAAATATACCAGAATTGTATGTCTACTCACTTATTGCTGGACAATTGAACAAACATACAAAGGAAGATATACAAATGGCCAGTAAGTACATGTAAACATGCTCAACCTCATTTAGTTATAAGAAAAATGCAAATTAAAACCACAGTGAGTTACCACTGCAGATCCACTAAAAGGACTAAACTGTCCAATCCAGCAGCCACTAGTCAAAGGTGGCTATTTGGCACTTAAAGTATGACTAGTATTGATTGAGATGTAAATAAAATACATGTCAGACTTTGGTGACTTTGCATGAAAAATG